CTACATCGTGTTACCATTGCACCGCTGCCGGAACAGAAGGTTCTCTACGCTTGGCAGAAAGTGACGACTGACACGTTCGATCCCGACTTCGTTGATCGCAGAAGAGCTGGACTCGAGGTACGTTTCCGATTTGCACGTATAACAGTATCGTGCGATGAATGTTGTACCCAATTATAACCTCAAATGAAGTTGTGCACGTTGCTAGTAACGCTGTCTGTAAAAATTTGCGTGAAAAATGATATATAATCATATTAACACATTACATTATTTTTAGACGTAGCTGTGATGAAAGAGAATTAGATGGTGACTTAATTTTGGGAGATATAGGTCAAGGATTGCCATTTAAAGCTGGTACGTTTGATGGGGCTGTCAGTATTTCTGCGCTTCAGTGGTTGTGCTATGCAAGCAAAACTTTGCACAATCCTACAAAACGTTTATATCGTTTCTTCTCAACGTTGTATGCATGCCTGTCAAGAAGCGCAAGAGCAGTGTTATAATTCTATCCAGAGAACGGTGAACAGGTTGAATTAATCACGGCACAAGCCACAAAAGCTGGCTTTTATGGCGGTGTGGTTGTCGATTTTCCGAATAGCGCAAAAGCAAAGAAAATGGTCTTGGTTTTAATGACCGGAGGAGCTGCTCCGCTTCCAAAGGCACTAGGCGTAGAGAACGAAGATAGACAAACCGTCGCTAATTCAAGAAGGTTTGATCCTCTCGTTGTCTGTTATATCTATTATTTCTCTATTTTACCTTCCAAAAATTGTGATAATTTTTTTGTACATAGGGAATACATAAAGAAAGCCAAGGGTAAATCATTGAAGAAAAGTAAGGACTGGATTTTAGAGAAGAAAGAAAGGCGGCGCCGGCAAGGAAAAGAAGTTAGAGATGACTCCAAATATACTGGACGAAAGAGACCCGGGAGATTCTAATTGTAAGATATACTTTGTTAATATAAAAAACACTATTTTAATAATTTTTTTTTTATAATTTATAATGTTAATTATAAATTAAAAAATTGATAAAATTGATCTAATTAATTTTTGTCTGTTTCTATATAATTAAACTACTACTTAAAAATAATATATGGATAAAATATTTTCTTTAATAACGAAAAATATGTGCTTAAAAAATTTTTTTGTTAAAGAATATCAAACATGAAATTTAATAATTGTGACTGTGCATAAATGTTTGTGTAAAGGGGAATATTTTTCTTTAAAAAGGATATTAGGAGTCCGTTATAATGTTAATATTACGGTAATAATAGACAATATTAATAAGAGATCAAAGAATGAGTTCAATATTTTATATTTTATTCTTTACGTAAACATAAATTGTGAAATACTCTGTTGTACTCCAGTAGGTAATACTTTTTCTAATTTTTCATGATCCAACCACTGGTATTTTACGTTATTGTTGATATCTCCATCCATATGTTTGGCTAAGAAATAAAATATTTTAGCACCATAACTTCCTTGCTCGCAAAGCTTCTTAGGATATTTGTATTTGTAGAATCCGATAGGTGCATTTCCATAAAACTTCACTTTTATTGTTGCACCACATGTATCTTGTAATACTCTCTCCGCAGTCTGTAAAAGAATTGATAAAGAATATTTTCAAATCATTTTTTTGTCCCCATTATATATATATAAGATATTCACATGCAAAATTAGTTGTAGAGAGATGGGTATGTCTATATGAAATTTTTATACGAATTACCTAGATATTTACTATATCTTCATAATAAAATCCATGTTTTTGCAGCTCTCGTATAATAGAAATTCAAGTACAGATGTGTGAACGTGCTATAGAACTTCTTGTGCTACCTGAAGATCAGAGCTGCTTGCTTTTGGATATCGGTTGTGGGTCAGGGCTCAGTGGCAGTGTATTGGAAGATCAGGGACACATATGGATAGGTGTGGACATCTCTTCAGCTATGCTTGGTATTTTAATTATGTTGCAATACAGTTATATTTTAAGAATATTTTTTTACAGTATATGTAACATATGCATATATATATATATATATATATATATATATATATCTTAATATATAATTATATTAACACATTATTTTTAGACGTAGCTGTTGAAAGAGAATTAGATGGTGACTTAATTTTGGGAGATATAGGTCAAGGATTGCCATTTAAAGCTGGTACGTTTGATGGGGCTGTCAGTATTTCTGCGCTTCAGTGGTTGTGCTATGCAAGCAAAACTTCGCACAATCCTACAAAACGTTTATATCGTTTCTTCTCAACGTTGTATGCATGCCTGTCAAGAAGCGCAAGAGCAGTGTTACAATTCTATCCAGAGAACGGTGAACAGGTTGAATTAATCACAGCACAAGCCACAAAAGCTGGCTTTTATGGCGGTGTGGTTGTCGATTTTTCGAATAGCGCAAAAGAAAAGAAAATGTTCTTAGTTTTAATGACCGGAGGAGCTGCTCCGCTTCCAAAAGCACTAGGCGTAGAGAACGAAGATAGACAAACCGTCGCTAATTCAAGAAGGTTTGAACCTCTCGTTGTCCGTTATTTTATTATTTTGTATTTGCAATTATTTTAAATATTTCTCTAACTATAATGTTAATATTACGGTAATAATAGACAATATTAATAATAAGAGATCAAAGAATGAGTTTAATATTTTATATTATTATTATTATTCTTTACGTAAACATAAATTGTGAAATATTCTGTTGTACTCCAGTAGGTAATACTTTTTCTAATTCTTCATGATCCAACCACTGGTATTTTACGTTATTGTTGATATCTCCATCCATATGTTTGGCTAAGAAATAAAATATTTTAGCACCATAACTTCCTTGCTCGCAAAGCTTCTTAGGATATTTGTATTTGTAGAATCCGATAGGTGCATTTCCATAAAACTTTACTTTTATTCTTGTACCACATGTATCTTGTAATACTCTCTCCGCAGTTTGTAAAAGAATTGATAAAGAACATTTTCAAATTATTTTTTTGTCCCCATTAAGATATTCACATGCAAAATTAGTTGTAGAGAGAAGTTGTAATATATTTATTCGGCTAAAATTGTTATTTTAATTCTTACTCGTTTCTTTATGTTTGAAATGTATATTTATGAAATATATATAAAACTTTGTTTATTTTTTAGGGCAGTAAAACAAATATTGGCGTGATTGTAACATCATTAGTTTTTGCAGAAAATTATATGTAGATTTAACAGTCTGTTAAATATAAATATGACAATGTATTTATGCAAAAAATCTTTACATTTTTAAACTCTACGTATAATGTATTCCAATTTTTATCATGTGCGGCGGAATGATTCCTTTATGAAATTACCATAGATAAACCTTTACAAAATATGACAAAAAATGTTAATAGAGAATTAGGCAGACTAAGCAGGCCCATTGGCACACATGAGCTCGGAACGTACTTATGACATGTCACGGCGCAGGATACGAATAAGTACGACCGTGAATGAAGGAAATTATATAATTTTATTAATAATTGTAATACAATAAATAAAAGTTAAAATATATATAATGTCGGTTGATTATACATTGTTGATGTTACATATTTTTTCTTAAAAGAACTATGCTTTTTTTTTATTTCACGAATAGCATATATACTTGCAGGAGGGTAAAATAAGATACCTGTTAAAGTTTGAGCCTTTAATATTAATTAATATTAACAGGTCGCTTATCGCGATTTTTTATTTTTTATTTAGTAAGATAGAAAAAATTTTATAACTATCTAACAAACAGTAATACAACATTGCTTTACATAGATTTTTGTAGTAAATTTATTGCTTTACAAAAAAGATCTCTTATCATTTTTTCATAAATTCAACCGTTCAAAAGATATTCAAAGTTAAAGTTTGATAAATTTTATAATATCGACTATCAAAAATTGTGAAATAATTAATACATATTTTTGTAGAAAATTTAACGATCTACAAATAAGGTCTCTTATATTTTTTTCATAAATATAATCATTTAGACGATATTAAGGTTTAAAGTTTAAAGTTCAGTGTATAAAAATTATTCTTTTTTTTCATATTATAACAAAATTCTGAGCTTTATTTATTTAATATGAAAAAAAAGTAATTTTTATACACTTTGAACATTAAACCTTAATATCGTCTAAATGATTTTATTTATGAAAAAAATATAAGACCTTTTTTGTAGATCGTTAATTTTCTACAAAAATATGTATTAATTATTTCATAATTTTTGATAATCGATATGATACAAAATTTATAAGAAGCAAAAACAAGTTTTATATTTATCAAACTTTAACTTTGAATATCTTTTGAACGGTTGAATTTATAAAAAAATGATAAAAAATATTTTTTGTAGAGCGGTAAATTTACTACAAAAATCTATGTAGAGCAATGCTGTATTACTGTTTGTTAGATAGTTATAAAATTTTTTCTATCTTACTAAATAAAAAATAAAAAATTGCGATAAGCGACCTGTTAATATTATTTTCTAATTTACCTAAATAGAAATCTTCTTCCTGACCGATAAGTCTATTGACCAGTGTCGAAAAAGTCAAAGTTACATTTCTTTGATATATATATGTCATATATTGAGAGACGTCGACGTTAGTAGAAATATCTTAATATAATATTTTCACATTTCAACTTTGCGTCGCAATATTTCCGCTCGTAGGACACGTAGCGGAAAAATAAAAACACGGCCTTTGGCCAACTCGAACGTGAGTACCCCATACGTACAAGAGTAAAGTACCAGTTAAAATACAGATAGCGAATTGGTTTTAGTTTTAAAATGTTTCACAATTGATTATTTTTGGAAAAAGTTGATAAGAAATAATTTTTACAAGCAACATAATATAAATGCATATTTTACATAAAAGCAATGTCCGGCAATGTCTATATTATATATATTAACAACTTCAGACACATTTCTTCATAAGGTGTAATTTTTTTCTGTTAAGATTAAGATGCGTAACACTACAAAAAGGCGTGATATCCATACAAAATTACCTTTTTCAAAAAAAAGGTAAAAAAAGGCGCCAAGTACACGCATAGTAGTGTATATGTATTATGCTGTTACCTCGAAAAAAAAACAAAGTGGTAGTATTATACCTCGAAATAACACCCTGTACATACTGTTCATAAAATGCGTAATACTACAAAAAGGCGTGATATCCGTACAAAATTACCTTTTTTAAAAAAAAGGTAAAGAAAGGCGCCAAGTATGTACACGCATAGTAGTGTATATATTGTTACCTCGAAAAAAAAACAGTGGTAGTATTATACCTAAAAAAAATCTAAGTAACAAGTGGTAGACGTAATTTTTGTATCTTGAAAAATCTCGAAAAAACCTAAACAGTAGTAGGGAAGACTGGGGCTGGTTGTTACACGGGTAGGTTGTTACAGTGCCAACGGTAGCTAAACCGAAAACGCTATAGTAACGTTAGAAAGAGAAAATGATCACGCCAGTGTCGGAAGACATACCGCGCGAGCTAGTGGCGCTGGCGTTCTTGTGAGAGGAGCCCGGACAAGCAGCCGTCAAAAACGCAGGTTTGTTTATTGGTCTAGCACTTGTTATCTAAATAAGCAGAAATGTGTATGTTGTGGTATATACTCTCTAATTTCTTCTGTTTACAATAAACCTTACTTTTATAAACTTTACAAATATTTTTGTTTTAATATTTAATCTTAAAATTAAAACAATTTACCCCGTGTGGTGTAACAACCAGCCCCTGGTGTGGGATAATAAGTTACATGTCTCTTTTTTCAGAATTTTTAAATTTATATAATTTCTAATGAGCCGTTAGATAAAATTATTATTAAATTTAAATCCCGATTAGTTACTGAATCTAGCAAGCCTAGATTCATTTATAAGAACAACATAATCAAAGAGTTGAGACACTTTATAGAAAAAATGTCACAACCAGCCCCGGTCTCCCCTATCTTTACCTCGAAAAAAACCAAAGTGGTAGTATTATACCTCGAAAAAACCTAAGTAACAAGTGGTAGACGTAATCTTTGTATCTCCAAAAATCTCGAAAAAACCTAAGCAGTAGTAATTTTATTTCCAAAAAATTATAACTCAAGTGATACACATCACAAAATTACGTTACCTTATCAAAAATGAGTCGCGCTTCAAGTGATCTATTATTACAATTACAAAAAAGAAATGATATCTCTTTTTAAATTACAGCGCCAATTACAGAGAACATATTTTTCGAGATACAAAGATTACGTCTACCACTTGT